ATCATGTCCCGCCATTCTCCAACACGAGACAAACAAAGTAATGTTTGCCTTGAGTGACTACCTGACATTCTATGTTCTGTGACTTGTTATTACTTCAGACTTGAATGAATAGCAGCGGAGATGTACAAAGCAGAGGACAAGTTGTGTTTAGCACTGATCTGTTAAATAATGAAGGCACTGACAATAGCTGTATTGCTCGGTTCTTTCAGATTGGCTTGGACACCTCTTACTGGACAGTTGTGAACCAGTTCTTTATCTGGGGCAGCCTTTCTGTTTACTTTGCTATCACCTTCACCATGTATAGCGATGGCATGTACCTGATCTTCACAGCCTCCTTTCCCTTCATTGGTAAGCCTTGGGGCAAATCTGGATGTACTCAAAATGGGCATACTGCAGGGCTTGAATCTGTCCAGTATTTCTAAGTGTACTTCAGAATATATTGATTGCCTTTTCTACAAGAAATGCCAGGATATTTCTGAGGGTTGTTGGGAATAACTATTTTGAACCCCATCCATCCAGGTGAATGTGTGCCATATCCACTTCCTTGTGTAAGAACAGACATTTCCATGCAGTCACAGGAATGATCTCTTAAAAAAACCTACTGAGCTGGCTGGAATGCTTTCTGCTGCTCTTATATATGCAGTTTCTAGGTGTCCAATTCTTACAGATACCTAGGAGCATTTTATTTGCAGAAGGATGTGTGATCTTTGTAAATAAGTTAACATTTTGGCATAGGAAAACGCGTAAGTACAACATCCAGTTACACACAAGAAAGATGCCATATGATTATGATGAGGCTTCTGCCAGGTTAAATGGCAAATTCACAACAGCAACAAAAAACCTAATTCCAGTGATGACCCGGTCTTTGTAGTTATTCTACATAACAGATTTCTGAACGCATACAAAAAATGAAGGATAACATTAAAATGAGTCTGTCTCCTGAGACTTTGACTTGGAGGAACATGTATATTTAGCAGAGTAATTCAGATTTTTTTAATATCTCTATGCATCAATAGCCAATATTGATACAGAATTGTTAGCAGTCTCTCCTCTGAAATCCCAATACTTCATGCTTCAAGTCAATGCCTTTATTTTTAATGACTTGTTCACTAGAAACTTGTTATGCCCACCTTCATTGCAATAGCGAGGGGCTTAGCCATTTTATGTATGCAGGTTAGTTGTTGCAACATATTTTTCAAGCAGATGATTACAGCCACTGTGAGATGACTTTTAGTATCAATAATGCTGAGTGAGAGAACACAGAATGTCTGTTCAGTTTCCAAAAACAGGTTGTAACTCACTTGCCATGGATGTTTTTATCTGCTGCTCTGTTCTTATAATGTTGGTCAAGCTAGCCATAATGCTGAGGAGCACTTACTAAGGTCTCAGTCTGAAACCATTTTTAAGGAAAGTGTTTCTAGTCTAGACTGAGACTTGCTTACTTCAATTTCAGTGGAGTTGTACTACAGCAAAATTTGACCAACTGAAAAGAAAACATTCAGCAACTTTACTGCCAACAACAGCATCATTAAGCCCTGTAATGAGGGTTTTGCAGACTGTTTGTTTTATCTTACATTCCTTCAGTTTTGGAGAAGCCAGAAGTGAGCACTTTGGTTTCAAACAAGGTGTCAGCAACAGGCCAGCACGTGGCAGTAGCTCTGCCAATACAGCCATTAAGGTATGCTGTCTGTGCAGATACTCAGAGCAACACATGCTCTTCTCATAGAGAACTGTGATCCCATCATCTGCTGGGCAGTCAGAGTTAGTACTCCATATGCTTCAGGAAATGGTGTTGGAAAGTAAGAAAATAGTGGTCCTCCTTCTGCACTCGAGTCGTAGCAATAGGTGGAAGGGCTGGACTGCTGCTGAAGGCCTCCTGAACATTTATATCAATCCTTTGCAGTGATTTGACTCTCTGGAAAGGGAAGAGATTCACTCTGACATCCCTGTCTCCCTGTTGCTGCAGTTGTGTCTGGATGTTGCATTTTTCTTTGCACCTCTCAGAAAGGCTATATAGCCAGTGGATTTCATTGTTAGAGATGATGTCTGCCTTATATTTTGGTCTGTTTGCCAAGTGCTTAGAAATCACAGAGAGCAAAAGGTTCAGGTGAACAATGGTGAGAGGTGCTGCTGTTACTGTTTTAATCACACTTGTTTTTCAGGTACGGCTCGAAACACCCTCAGCCAACCAAATGTGTGGCTAGCAATCTTCCTCAGCATCACCCTCTGTGTGCTGCCGGTGGTTGGCTTTCGATTCCTGAAGGCTCAGTTAAAGCCGACTCCCAGTGACAAAGTAAGGAGATACTTTATAAAACCAGAAATCCTGCTTACTGTGGCCTAGGCACACTGTTGAGCCATGTTGCATGTGTTTGGCACTGCTTGGAGTGTGTGTCCCTATTGGTGCAAGTCCTGCCATCCGTCTGTCCCCTACTTCCTTGAGCAGGAGGATCTAATTTGGGGTTTGGCACAGTACAAACCATCTGCAGCTGGGACCAAGGCTGAGATTATTTAGTTGTGGATTAGATTGCTCTGAGGCAGGAAAGCTGCACTATTTTTAGGTACAGGGTTTAAGCTCTGTGGCTCAGTGGCAAAGGAGTGGCATGTTCCTCCTGCCCTGCTGCCGTACAGTTTTTAGCCTGGCTGACCACACCCCTTCAGCCTCCACCCGGCTGTACGTGTTTACTGGGGATTTGTTTAATTTCAGAATTTGCTTCGTTTGTAGCCAAAGTTATGCACCTCCTCTGACACCAGCTGCTCCCCCAACCTCGGGAATATGAAGATAAGGGCACGAGGGCAAGGAGAGTCTCTGTGGGATGGAGTGGGCAGAGAGCGCACAGCTCTCTGCAGCCAAAGGACCCCTCAAGAACATCAGTACACAAAGAGCTCCCCGAGCTTGCTTCTAAACAGCAGCATCTGCTGAATGCTGCTGCCACCTCGTGCTTCCTTCCTCTCCCTGCGCCGAGCTGCCAGGAACTAGTGTCAGAGCACAGCCCCAGCGCCATGCACCGCAGTTGATGTCCTCCCCTGTCGTTCTCGGGATGTCTCTGGAGCTCCCCAAGTTCTCCAGGACTGTGGCAGAATGAATATAGGGGAATTCTCAGCCCTTGCAGAGGAGGTAGCTGGGTGCCAGGAAAGACTGCTAGGTAGGGAGGTCTTTGGGACACAGTTAGGGGCAGTTCAAGTGTGTAAAAATGGGCTGAGCTTACCTCCTCAGTTGAGTAGAAGTCAAACACAGCTGTCACCCAGACTCGGGGCTGGGGTTAAGCAACTCTCTCTCTCTTTCTCTCTCTCTCTTTCTGCCTCCTCTGGGAAGTGAATGGTCACATGGGAGGAGTGTTTCAGTTTCCTGCTGTATCGAGTTCCCAGTTGGCAGTAAACAGACCTGACGTTAAGAGAGGCCAGGTACCTACTGCTACCATTGTGTCAAGCAAGAAGCACATGGGTCCAGCAGCCAGGGATTCAGCCAAGCCACAGGCACTCAATATCAGCCTCCTGCGTTAGCCAGCCCATTTCTGAAAACGTGGATGTCTGCAGATTAGCTTGGTGGCCATGTGGGAGCAGAGAGTCCACTACTTGCAAATAAAGTGCATTGCTTATTTCCCCTCTGCCAAGGAATACAAGAATCTATTGATCCCTGTAAGTCCTCAAGGCCAGGTTGCATGGGGTGTTGATCAACCTGGTCTAGTGGCAGGGGTGTCAGAATGAGATGATCCTCAGGGTTCCTTCCAATCCAAACCATTATGTGACTCTATAATTCTATGATGATCATCATTCTCATCATAAAAAGCATTTACATGTCAGAAATCCCCTTTAGCAGTCTGTTTTCTATATTAAACAAGCCAGTTCTTAAATGCTGCCTTATTTGTTTTCCGAACTTTTGACTGTTGTTGAGATGACTTTCACATTTTGTGTGATTTGACTGCAGCTCCTGAAAGAGCTGCAGTAATACCCTAACTGCCCCCCAGTAATACCCTATCTGCCATCACAGAACTGTGAAGAAACAATACACTGAGATCATCCCCTCCCATGACTTATAGATGATGCTCCCATTAAGGCCTTTTAGAATAAGATTGCCTTTTCCACTTACCAGGCTGCCACCCTGTGCTGCCAGTTCACTTGCTGCTCTGTATCCCAGAAGTGCCAACCATTTTGTTGGTATTGTTTTGTCACTAATTTTTGGCATTGGACCCCTGCTTTTGTTTCCCTTTCTCTGCTCCTCTTCTACTGAGCTTGTGAATAATGATGCCCTTTCCACTTTTTCCACCATATTTTCTGATTTCAGGTCCTGCTTAAGATCAAAGAAGCCAAAAAGCGGCCCCCTCCACCCTCACCCAAGAGACGCCTGCGTCGGACCAGCACCCGCCGCTCTGGCTATGCCTTCTCTCATCAGCACGGCTTTGGAGCACTCATTACGTCTGGAAGAAACATGCGGCCAAAATCACCTTTTGCCACAACAGGAACATTTTCACCAAATAGTGACAAATACAAACACAAAGGATTGTGAAGGAAAAAAAAAAAGACATCCCCTGGTCCCCCAAAACTCCACAAAACCAGCAAAGCAAACCAAAGTAAAGGGCTGTCAGGTGAGAAGACTGTGCACCCTGCAAGGCACCAAGCCAGTGGCTGTCCAGCGCTCTACCAAATCAAGGACTTGGGCCTTTCCTTTCACCCATATGTATCATCTGATTTCAGCTTCCTTTCCAAAGATATGTGCTGCTGCCAGGGGTGGCGGGCAGGGTGAATTGGAGTATGGAGTTGTATGGTATCCCAGAGGGCCTCCCTGGAACAAGAGAGAACATGCTGCAGGAGGCATCTCTGCTCCTCAAGATTGTTCATAATGCTGTTTTTTTTCCCTTTAACTACATACCTCAGAGCAAAGGGAAGTCCAAGCTGAGGAAAAGGCTGAAATGGTGATGTCTTTCTCATTCAAGTGCCTCCTTTTTTAATCATGAATCCACTCTGGGCCATATAACTGGGGTGACAGTATTGATCCCAAGTGTGCCTTAGGTCCAGCCACACAACCCCCAAATCCGCAATTGTCGTAATATGTGTAATTTTGTAGGCTTTTGACTGTACACAGGCACTTTGGAAGGCACAATTGGAAATAACCTCCTTCCAAACTAATAGTTGATCCACTTTCTCAAGAGATGGCCAGTGCCCAAACACTGCCTTCTTCCCACATCTGCCATCAGGAGCTGCTGCAAGCTCAGAGAAACCCTTAGTTGGTCAAGGGACAAGGAGTTCATGCTCATCAGCCTGCCCTGTTTTATCTGCATTGCAAAGGTGCGCTTGTAGAAATTCATTGTCCTCAGAGCCCTCTCAAGTTTTGTAGGTGGTCACCAGTCATTTCATTTGGACTTAATATAAAAGCAGAAGCTCAGACTCCCATATGGATCAAACTATAAAATTTGGCCCTGAGAAGCCCATGCCATGGTTAGGGCTCACCTGAGCTGCCAGCACGAGGTGTGGCAGACTGAGTGCAAAACAGTGCAAAAACAGACTGAGATGCATGCACACCTGGTTTGACAATGATTACATGAGCAGTACTGAAGGCAGAGATGCTCTGTTTCATGAAACAGCCTTTACTCCACCGGTGCTGTGGCTCAGTGTCAGGAATAAAGCATGGCATGGTGGTTCCCTCACACTGCCTGATAAGCAGTGTGGTCAAATTTCAGAGGAACTTAGTGAGGCCTCAGGAGTTGCTGCAGTGTTTCTCTGTGCTGGTTCATATTTCATTTACGAACAGTTAGTCTATCAATCATGGATGGCAGAGAGCGGAAAATCCTAGCAGTCTAACTGCCAGCAGAGGGACCTAAAATGCACAGACGCATCCAAAGACATGGTGATCTTGAGGGACTGGGATTTGCTCACTGTTTTGTTACACCAGCTCCATAATCAGTGGGATTACTGAGTGGAAAGCAGTGTGAGAGTCTGTCCTGCCAGCACTGCTGAGCTGTCTAAATGCAGAGTGGTTTGTGCAGAGGACTAAGCAGCCCTGGCTGTTTTGTTGGTGTTTTTTCAGCTCTTTCATAAAAATTTAGACTCCTTCCTTGTTTTGAATTGGATTTTTTTGTGTGTGCAGTAACCATTCGATATTTGTGGGGAGCTCTCTGCAGTGAGTCTCTGAGCAATCAGAGAAGGCAATGTATGACAGCAACGGGCCAGTCATGTCCCCATTTCATCCGGTCTGCGTGAAACATCTTGCTGCCTGTGGTCCCAGTTTTAGCAGTTATTGTGTGAGATTGTTTAAACTCCAGTGGAAGGTTTCATCTCTGGGTTTGAATCGGCAGAGAAAAAAATGTCTCTTGCACCTGCTGCTTTAGGAGGCTTGTTGCAAACTGTGGTATTAAATTTCAGCATGGCCAGTACAACACTGGAGCTGGGACTGGATTCAGACTCCGGTGTCCAGAAGCTGCTTGCTAGGGAAGGAGCAAATTCTAATCTGGTGATCTCCACTGCAAGGAGACACCTAATTAAAGTGAGAGCCTGCACTCTGAGGGAGGAAACTGCTGTGATAGTTAGTGCTTGTCACCTCCCTCTGATTTACCATTCACTTTGCAGAGGCAATCATGGCTTTCTGATAAGGATTATGTCTTTCACAGTCAGCTTCCCTGGGGTTAGAGGAAAATGACAATTTGTGCATCCCCATGATACCAAGACTGGTCTGTGGACCAAGAGTCCTATCAAACCTGTTCCTAGCATGCAATACAACAGAATATAATGCAGAGCAGCAGAGGCTGACCTTGTGCTAGCAGAACAAGGAAACTCTTGACACTGTGCCTCTCTTCATATACAGTTTACGTGCAAAGTACTCACCTTCTGGCTAAAAGGGGATTTGAAAATGTTGGCTACAACATGTAGGGGATAATAAAGCTGTTGGTGAGCTTGCACCAGATACAACTATTTCAGTGGTTTGAGACAATCAGCATTTGTAACACATCAGCTGGCAGTGATGTCTGTCCTACATCACACCTGATTTTGTAAAATAATTGTGTTGGGGTTTTTTTAAATAAAAATAGAATATTAGGATGATTGATTCCTTGGCACTCTGTTAATTGATCTAAAGCGTTTATAACCAGAAGTGCACATTAATTCCTGGACCTCCTAAAGCAGAAGGATTATCCGTGCGACAACAGATCTGAGAGGGCAGCACTTTTCATCTGGTATCCTGATGAAGGAAACACTCAAATTCCCAAACTTTTCCATCCCTATTTGGGATGTTTTAAGAGGAAACTTGGAGGAAACGTCAGACATCCTCAGGCAGAGCGCCCGGTGGGGGCGGGCAGTGTCGAGAGCCCGCCCTGCCGTCCGGCTGTAAACAGCGGAGCGATGCTGGCGATCGGTAAGGACCGGCGGG